ACGGATTTGCATCAAAGCGTTATTGTTATTTACAGCTTTTTTTTAATCTTAAATGTGTAAGCAAAAAATCAATCAATTCAATTAAATTAGAATCTTTCCAAATTTTTCGTTAGTACATATTTTTTACCAATACAATAATGTTTGTAATACATTTTAAGCGACTACGAAAATATGTTTTGTGATTATTCTTCTGCTAATTAAGCCTATTGTAGTTGGAATGTATATAAAGAAAAAATCTATAAATTTCAACTTCAGTAATAATCACCGTATTGTTACTGCTTTTTTTTATCTAATCGCTATTATAATACATATATTTAAAACCGAATGATTATTAAATTTTGTAAGGAAAAATTAGCAACGATAGCTTATGCGATTGTGGATGTGTTGTTATTATTATTATTTACGACTATTCTCGGTCGGAATTATTCATTTATACCTGAAACACTTGTGATAAACCCTCAAAACAGCTATTAGCTTTGATGTAGCATCTGAGAACATTCCTTCTGTCTCCGTGTCACCGTTACCAAACATCGTTTTATCACACACGCTAGCATTAAAATGAGACATCATCTCCATTCACATGCACCCCATACGATGTAATTAGTTAATCTAACCAGCTTGAGGCTAAACAGAAAACTATAGAAATTCCATGTATGACGATAATTATTTAAAAGATTAACTTGTTTTTGTTAATAATAACTAAATATAATAGGATACTATACGGGGTGAAATGACTAACGTCGGTCCCACCCCCAGCTCGCGAAACCATGTAAAAAAAAAAAAAACTGGATACTATACAGTATACAAGGTATTAAATTATCACGTTAAATTTTACACAAAAAATACGTTTAAAGATTTGTTAAAATGTAACCCAATCTCGGGCCAAGTCACGATGTTTGAGGAACTAATTAATAACGGTTGAGTCATTAAACCCTTTAAAACACACGCTTTCTGATTTTATGTTTAAATAAACATTTACGAACAAAACTTTGTTAGATTCTCAGCTTAGATATACCTAAGTACCTAACATTTAATAACTATTGAAATTAATTGGTATTGCTATTGCCACATAACATCGTTGTTTATTCAAAAATTCCAATTCGAATATTATTTAAAATCGCATTTTTTTGAATGTAAATACTACTTTCTAATTCTTCTTACTACTTCTATTAATAATAATTGAATAATACACAACAATGAATTATTAGTTTGTGGTCAAATGCGTTAAATATTCATTAAACAATGATTTGGTAGGTATCTGTAATTTACCCAATAAATATAATATAATTATTAATCTAGCGTTATGAACGTTTTGTTTAAACTATAATGTACAAATGGACCGTGTCCGCCAAATTGACCTTTTATTAATATGCCAATTTTCCACCTAAAGTTGTATTTCGGTTTTCGACATTATGAATTAAAATGTGTTACCTAATACTTTTAAGAACCCTTTTGTTTAGTGCTTTAAATTCAATTTTTGTATTTTTTAAAAATATTTCAAATCAAGATTTTTTGTTAACCTAAAATTTTAATTTCACCGTTTTTTACAATGTAGGGAAATATTAAAGTGTAGTGTGATGGTGCTGTGGGCATATTCATGCTATTTTACAAACATTTTACAATTTTTTAAATTTTAACGATGTGAATAAATACACATCTAAAAATGATAGTAAATGGTGGAGGTGTTATGAAAAAAGGGTTAAAATTTTACGAAAAATTGTTATGGACTCGTTAAAATAGAAAATACGTAGGTGTCACCATAGTGCTGTCGTTAGTCATGCCTTAGACAGATAAATTATTAATTATGAATGTAAGTGTAAAGAAGTAGAAGATATTAGTTTGAGGCCCAAAAAGTTATGTTATAGGAAAACTTGTTTTTGGTGCAGAGTAGCGTGCATAATATTATTATGTCTTATATTATTTACCACGTCCAAAAAGTTAACTATACAAGGTGAGTCACTCGTGTACACGCTTATGCTCTACAGTGTGCCTGAACTAACTTTAAATTAACTAAAAGCACTTGAGTTTTGGTTTATCGGTTTGATTCAGGAAATAGTGTAAATATACATTTACAGCAAAATCGGTAGAGTTGTTTTCAAAAAAAAATATTTTTAAAGTTAAAAATCGTTTTCTTATTATTTTAATAAAATCTTCATAATTTAAGTGTCTTTTAATGTTTTTTTACATTCGAGTTATGGCCTTGAAAACGGAGTAAAAAACAATTTCTATATTTATATTGCAAGTATTTCATAGTAAATTTAATTTTCAGGACCCAGTCAAATTTTAAGTACAGGAATATAATACTAAACAAGCTTAAAAATCAAATTTTTAAGTATTATTTGTATATTTAGTAATGTAAATGAAAAGTTGTTTACTCGTTACATTTCTCTATATAAAATAAGATGCATAGAGTGTATTTGAAAAAAAATTTAAGTTTTAGCCATATAAAGTTGGCTCAGACACATAATGGCTCATGTACAGCTATCGTTTCAATTTTATAGATTCAGGTTCAGGTGTTCTTATTATTTATTATAAGTACTAAGTTTTAATTTATTTTAGCCAAAAATGGACTCGGTTATGACGATCGAAAATAATTTTAGTGTAAAATGCAAGCAACCATACAAATCGCAAGGCTATATATAGATAATAATTTTTTTTACTGCCGTCCATAATTACTACTACTGAAAGAAAGTCAATAGTAATTACTATTATTATCATACAAATCATCAAGGTCCTAAAATCAATTTCTGTTAATACATTAATCAATTTACATGGCCTTATTTAGTAGAGTGACTATGTGACCAAAAATAACTTGGCAAAAAAAGTTTAAAAAAAAAGTAAGATACAAATTTCGACGTGCTTATAGTGGCTATGGCGGCTTAAATTAAATAATAAATATTAATAATTTATTGAGTAGTAAAAAAAATGTCTGTTATTTATTGATTAATTAGTCGTGGATCGTTGCAGATTGATTAAATATTTAATGTGATAAGCCGCAAAAATTAGGAAAAAAAAACACACGAAAAAACCAAGCAGTATTTTCTTAAAAATAAAAATAAAATTTAACCTTTTGAATAGTATATTCTCAAGCCACGCTGTAAACAGAGTACCAGAATAATCTATTGAGTGCGAAGACCGTATAACTTGCCGCTTTCGGGTAATATACCTTGTTGCGCTTCGGAGTACCCAAGGATAAGGGAAGGGCGAGAGAGATCCCGAAATGGAATAACAGTATTCCTGTGTATATTAGTGTACGTGTGTGCGTGTATTTTATTTTTCTCCTATTCATTTATATACATAACTCTATAGCGTCCAGAGCCTTCCGTAGTTTAACAATAGATAGATGTACGGACTTACACTCACACATACACGTTTTGTATCCCCTCACTCTGTTTACTGGGTCAGAGAGATACTCCTCCTCGCTTCTGCACTTGGATCGATGAAACCCCTTTACCTCCCTTCCCCCTCCGGGTTCCACTCTCACCGTTCTTCTTCTGTTGAATACTATAGCGCGGTCAGGACTTCGGACCGTTTTATGTACAACAACTGGCAGCGGTTAGGGGTTCAAACCTTTTTTGTGCACCTATACTGCACCCAACACATTGTTTGATGGCCAAATATTCTATAATATTCGATGAATTTCTATTTTTGAACTTACAGTGAGAAATTATTTTTTTATGTTAACGATAAACCCTTCAGTTTCCATTTCCAACCGATCTGTTTGAAGTTGATTATATTAATACAAAATGTATATCTACGTGATATAATTATAATTTTTACTTAAGTTTCTAGACGGTATTAGGAATGCCGAAAACACTTGTTTTCACTCCATGTTGGTTTTTGATGTGGAGGTATATAAGCATTTTTATTTATACATTGAATAAAACGGCTTAATATAAAAGGTGTCACGCGTATAGAATTTAATTGAATATTAAAAAGGTTCCCGGACCTTTTTTTCCCATGGACTAAAAAAATTTAATTAATTTAGTTTGTAATTAATGTTTTTTTTTCTTTTTATTAACTATTTCCTTACCCCTCGTTCTCAAACCTGACGATCCACTCATGGTTCATTGTTGACTATCCGTCTACCAGACTTTAATATATATTTAAATGTATTCATTATGCTCTCTAGCACAAATAAAATAAATATTATTTTATGTTGTCTAATGATCCATAAAGAAAACAGATGTTCAGTAAAAATCTCTAATTATAACAATTTTTACTTGTTGTTCATTGTTTCTGAAAATATAAAATACAAATATTGACAAATATAAAATGTCCTGACGATTATAGCTTAAACAAATCTATATGGCATGGGTATTAGGTATTATACACAAGCATTCTATGAATTATAGGTAGAAGATATATTAATATCAAAGCAATTGTAAACAAAACAAGGATTGCGATTTGGGATAAAATTGAAGTTGACATTAATGCAAACGCCAATCATTTAGTGTTACAATATAATCCATTTAAAGATATAAAAAAATAATTAATCAAATGATTGAATAGTAATAATTTACTTAGCTGAGTAATTGAATAATTCTTTTTTATTTTTAATAGTAAATAATGTGTGCTATTCTATTAGAATAGGACATATTATTTAAACCACTACGTTGTCTATAAAAATACACTAAACAAATATTGATTAAATAATAGGAGGGAATTTATTATTTAACTTAGATGTTATTGTAGGAAATCAAATTTTCTCATTATTCATCTAGGAAACCATAGTTTACTAAAAATTAAATTCAAAAATGTTACACCTTAATTATTATTTCAACAATAAATTTTAGTTTAAAAAAATACTTTATTAATATGTATATAATTAAATGTAGCTGTTTTTAATTTGCAGATTATTTACTCACAATTAAAATCTTCGTCAAATACTGTGTTAGCGCAATTAGTTGAAAATTTGGCAAAATCAATAATGTGCTTAACTATACGTTGTTAACATTTTGTATAAAAGGCAAATACATTTTTATTGTAATCATTTAATTTCAGTTTTGCCATTGGTATAATACTACTGTATGAAAGCTAAACATGGCTCCAAATAAAGTGTACCTAGTTCTGGCTATCGCTATCTGTGTAAGTACAAATTATTTTAGACCTACTCATTTTTAAACAATTGTAACAGTGGCTATTATTTGAAAATATCTAGAACCGATAATTTTCTTAAAGCCTTAAACAAAAAAAAGCGTATTATTAAATTTTCTTATCTTATAAATATAATCCATTTTAAGTAAAAAACCACATATAATCAAAGGAAGGTTTATTAATTAAAATTTCCCATAAAAACATTTAGACTGTTTCTGGAAGGGACTTGTACTTATTCAAACGAGATGAAGTTGTAGGAGCATCCTCCCAAAACGATAATATTGCATCCAGTGGATTGATTAAAAGAGAAGCAATTACAGAAAAAGCATATGGAATGGCTTCTGAAGTACCCGCTGGATCAGTGACGAGGGACAAAATCATACAAGAAAAAATGACCAAGGCTAGTGGAATATCCAGTAGAGTAGTAAAAAGATGTTGTGTAAGTATAATATAGGTGTAGTATAATATTTCTAAAAGAGATTAAAACATCAGAACTAAAGCTCGTAATTAATTTATTTAAACACATTCTATAATTTAGGTTTTATAAATATAATGAGTTAAAATTCATAATATATATATTAACAATATATATATGATATCTTAACTATTTGTATATATTGTATTTTGTCAAGAACTAGGTAATTTAACAAAATGTTCTAGTAGTATTCAAGTCTTTTTATTCAAAGACCAAAGACTTTTTTTTATTTATTGTAGTTTAAAAAACCAGAAAGTTGGTGATTTCATACCGTTTTAATGTCTTGACTCTTGTAGAGTTATTTAAAAAAAAAACCTTAGTTTTGGTTAGCATACATTTTAGCATTACATTTTGTATGTAAAAGTTATACAAATTAAATACATTATAAAACCTATTTAAAAAAAAAAAAAATAATGCTAATAAATACAATGTGATAGAAAATAGTTGTATCTATGTTTCAGTGCCCAAAAAAGTGCGAATCTAAAGCGGAAAAAATGGTACATAACTTTATTAGTTATACATACAAGTATTAAAATAAATATTTATTTTAGAAACAGAAAAAAAAACAGTTAATAGTTTTTTAAACAAATTTGGTTTTTTTCTATACTTATTATCACGTTTGATCTAGGGCGGAAAGAAAGATAAAACTGGATCTGGAGAATCTAAAGGGCCAGGTTCGTCCGGGTAAGTTATACTTTAAAACGCTCATTGGTTTGAACATTTAAAATGTACTTACAAAATGACTAATCATTTTTTTTATACAGAGTGAACATGATGAAATAACTGGTTCTTTGGCATTCGACATTGAGTCCTCATCGGAGGTATGCCAAATTATAAAAAAATATATAAATTCTTTAAATAAAATTATATTGTCATGTTTAGAGCGGTCCCCGTAGTTTAGGCGGCGGTAAAGGAAAACCAGGTCAAGGAAAAGGCAATGGGTGTTCTGGTGGTGGCTCTAAAAAGCCAGGTCCTTGTAAGGTAAATAACAAATCGCGATGACTTTCCTTATGATTCAAGTATCCATTAATAGTTTTTTAAACAGATTTGGTTTTTTTCTATACTTATTATCACGTTTGATCTAGGGCGGAAAGAAAGATAAAACTGGATCTGGAGAATCTAAAGGGCCAGGTTCGTCCGGGGTAAGTTATACTTTAAAACGCTCATTGGTTTGAACATTTAAAATGTACTTACAAAATGACTAATCATATTTTTTTATACAGAGTGAACATGATGAAATAACTGGTTCTTTGGCATTCGACATTGAGTCCTCATCGGAGGTATGCCAAATTATAAAAAAATATATAAATTCTTTAAATAAAATTATATTGTCATGTTTAGAGCGGTCCCCGTAGTTTAGGCGGCGGTAAAGGAAAACCAGGTCAAGGAAAAGGCAATGGGTGTTCTGGTGGTGGCTCTAAAAAGCCAGGTCCTTGTAAGGTAAATAACAAATCGCGATGACTTTCCTTATGATTCAAGTATCCATTAATAGTTTTTTAAACAGATTTGGTTTTTTTCTATACTTATTATCACGTTTGATCTAGGGCGGAAAGAAAGATAAAACTGGATCTGGAGAATCTAAAGGGCCAGGTTCGTCCGGGGTAAGTTATACTTTAAAACGCTCATTGGTTTGAACATTTAAAATGTACTTACAAAATGACTAATCATATTTTTTTATACAGAGTGAACATGATGAAATAACTGGTTCTTTGGCATTCGACATTGAGTCCTCATCGGAGGTATGCCAAATTATAAAAAAATATATAAATTCTTTAAATAAAATTATATTGTCATGTTTAGAGCGGTCCCCGTAGTTTAGGCGGCGGTAAAGGAAAACCAGGTCAAGGAAAAGGCAATGGGTGTTCTGGTGGTGGCTCTAAAAAGCCAGGTCCTTGTAAGGTAAATAACAAATCGCGATGACTTTCCTTATGATTCAAGTATCCATTAATAGTTTTTTAAACAGATTTGGTTTTTTTCTATACTTATTATCACGTTTGATCTAGGGCGGAAAGAAAGATAAAACTGGATCTGGAGAATCTAAAGGGCCAGGTTCGTCCGGGGTAAGTTATACTTTAAAACGCTCATTGGTTTGAACATTTAAAATGTACTTACAAAATGACTAATCATATTTTTTTATACAGAGTGAACATGATGAAATAACTGGTTCTTTGGCATTCGACATTGAGTCCTCATCGGAGGTATGCCAAATTATAAAAAAATATATAAATTCTTTAAATAAAATTATATTGTCATGTTTAGAGCGGTCCCCGTAGTTTAGGCGGCGGTAAAGGAAAACCAGGTCAAGGAAAAGGCAATGGGTGTTCTGGTGGTGGCTCTAAAAAGCCAGGTCCTTGTAAGGTAAATAACAAATCGCGATGACTTTCCTTATGATTCAAGTATCCATTAATAGTTTTTTAAACAGATTTGGTTTTTTTCTATACTTATTATCACGTTTGATCTAGGGCGGAAAGAAAGATAAAACTGGATCTGGAGAATCTAAAGGGCCAGGTTCGTCCGGGGTAAGTTATACTTTAAAACGCTCATTGGTTTGAACATTTAAAATGTACTTACAAAATGACTAATCATATTTTTTTATACAGAGTGAACATGATGAAATAACTGGTTCTTTGGCATTCGACATTGAGTCCTCATCGGAGGTATGCCAAATTATAAAAAAATATATTAATTCTTTAAATAAAATTATATTGTCATGTTTAGAGCGGTCCCCGTAGTTTAGGCGGCGGTAAAGGAAAACCAGGTCAAGGAAAAGGCAATGGGTGTTCTGGTGGTGGCTCTAAAAAGCCAGGTCCTTGTAAGGTAAATAACAAATCGCGATGACTTTCCTTATGATTCAAGTATCCATTAATAGTTTTTTAAACAGATTTGGTTTTTTTCTATACTTATTATCACGTTTGATCTAGGGCGGAAAGAAAGATAAAACTGGATCTGGAGAATCTAAAGGGCCAGGTTCGTCCGGGGTAAGTTATACTTTAAAACGCTCATTGGTTTGAACATTTAAAATGTACTTACAAAATGACTAATCATATTTTTTTATACAGAGTGAACATGATGAAATAACTGGTTCTTTGGCATTCGACATTGAGTCCTCATCGGAGGTATGCCAAATTATAAAAAAATATATAAATTCTTTAAATAAAATTATATTGTCATGTTTAGAGCGGTCCCCGTAGTTTAGGCGGCGGTAAAGGAAAACCAGGTCAAGGAAAAGGCAATGGGTGTTCTGGTGGTGGCTCTAAAAAGCCAGGTCCTTGTAAGGTAAATAACAAATCGCGATGACTTTCCTTATGATTCAAGTATCCATTAATAGTTTTTTAAACAGATTTGGTTTTTTTCTATACTTATTATCACGTTTGATCTAGGGCGGAAAGAAAGATAAAACTGGATCTGGAGAATCTAAAGGGCCAGGTTCGTCCGGGGTAAGTTATACTTTAAAACGCTCATTGGTTTGAACATTTAAAATGTACTTACAAAATGACTAATCATATTTTTTTATACAGAGTGAACATGATGAAATAACTGGTTCTTTGGCATTCGACATTGAGTCCTCATCGGAGGTATGCCAAATTATAAAAAAATATATAAATTCTTTAAATAAAATTATATTGTCATGTTTAGAGCGGTCCCCGTAGTTTAGGCGGCGGTAAAGGAAAACCAGGTCAAGGAAAAGGCAATGGGTGTTCTGGTGGTGGCTCTAAAAAGCCAGGTCCTTGTAAGGTAAATAACAAATCGCGATGACTTTCCTTATGATTCAAGTATCCATTAATAGTTTTTTAAACAGATTTGGTTTTTTTCTATACTTATTATCACGTTTGATCTAGGGCGGAAAGAAAGATAAAACTGGATCTGGAGAATCTAAAGGGCCAGGTTCGTCCGGGGTAAGTTATACTTTAAAACGCTCATTGGTTTGAACATTTAAAATGTACTTACAAAATGACTAATCATATTTTTTTATACAGAGTGAACATGATGAAATAACTGGTTCTTTGGCATTCGACATTGAGTCCTCATCGGAGGTATGCCAAATTATAAAAAAATATATAAATTCTTTAAATAAAATTATATTGTCATGTTTAGAGCGGTCCCCGTAGTTTAGGCGGCGGTAAAGGAAAACCAGGTCAAGGAAAAGGCAATGGGTGTTCTGGTGGTGGCTCTAAAAAGCCAGGTCCTTGTAAGGTAAATAACAAATCGCGATGACTTTCCTTATGATTCAAGTATCCATTAATAGTTTTTTAAACAGATTTGGTTTTTTTCTATACTTATTATCACGTTTGATCTAGGGCGGAAAGAAAGATAAAACTGGATCTGGAGAATCTAAAGGGCCAGGTTCGTCCGGGGTAAGTTATACTTTAAAACGCTCATTGGTTTGAACATTTAAAATGTACTTACAAAATGACTAATCATATTTTTTTATACAGAGTGAACATGATGAAATAACTGGTTCTTTGGCATTCGACATTGAGTCCTCATCGGAGGTATGCCAAATTATAAAAAAATATATTAATTCTTTAAATAAAATTATATTGTCATGTTTAGAGCGGTCCCCGTAGTTTAGGCGGCGGTAAAGGAAAACCAGGTCAAGGAAAAGGCAATGGGTGTTCTGGTGGTGGCTCTAAAAAGCCAGGTCCTTGTAAGGTAAATAACAAATCGCGATGACTTTCCTTATGATTCAAGTATCCATTAATAGTTTTTTAAACAGATTTGGTTTTTTTCTATACTTATTATCACGTTTGATCTAGGGCGGAAAGAAAGATAAAACTGGATCTGGAGAATCTAAAGGGCCAGGTTCGTCCGGGGTAAGTTATACTTTAAAACGCTCATTGGTTTGAACATTTAAAATGTACTTACAAAATGACTAATCATATTTTTTTATACAGAGTGAACATGATGAAATAACTGGTTCTTTGGCATTCGACATTGAGTCCTCATCGGAGGTATGCCAAATTATAAAAAAATATATAAATTCTTTAAATAAAATTATATTGTCATGTTTAGAGCGGTCCCCGTAGTTTAGGCGGCGGTAAAGGAAAACCAGGTCAAGGAAAAGGCAATGGGTGTTCTGGTGGTGGCTCTAAAAAGCCAGGTCCTTGTAAGGTAAATAACAAATCGCGATGACTTTCCTTATGATTCAAGTATCCATTAATAGTTTTTTAAACAGATTTGGTTTTTTTCTATACTTATTATCACGTTTGATCTAGGGCGGAAAGAAAGATAAAACTGGATCTGGAGAATCTAAAGGGCCAGGTTCGTCCGGGGTAAGTTATACTTTAAAACGCTCATTGGTTTGAACATTTAAAATGTACTTACAAAATGACTAATCATATTTTTTTATACAGAGTGAACATGATGAAATAACTGGTTCTTTGGCATTCGACATTGAGTCCTCATCGGAGGTATGCCAAATTATAAAAAAATATATAAATTCTTTAAATAAAATTATATTGTCATGTTTAGAGCGGTCCCCGTAGTTTAGGCGGCGGTAAAGGAAAACCAGGTCAAGGAAAAGGCAATGGGTGTTCTGGTGGTGGCTCTAAAAAGCCAGGTCCTTGTAAGGTAAATAACAAATCGCGATGACTTTCCTTATGATTCAAGTATCCATTAATAGTTTTTTAAACAGATTTGGTTTTTTTCTATACTTATTATCACGTTTGATCTAGGGCGGAAAGAAAGATAAAACTGGATCTGGAGAATCTAAAGGGCCAGGTTCGTCCGGGGTAAGTTATACTTTAAAACGCTCATTGGTTTGAACATTTAAAATGTACTTACAAAATGACTAATCATATTTTTTTATACAGAGTGAACATGATGAAATAACTGGTTCTTTGGCATTCGACATTGAGTCCTCATCGGAGGTATGCCAAATTATAAAAAAATATATTAATTCTTTAAATAAAATTATATTGTCATGTTTAGAGCGGTCCCCGTAGTTTAGGCGGCGGTAAAGGAAAACCAGGTCAAGGAAAAGGCAATGGGTGTTCTGGTGGTGGCTCTAAAAAGCCAGGTCCTTGTAAGGTAAATAACAAATCGCGATGACTTTCCTTATGATTCAAGTATCCATTAATAGTTTTTTAAACAGATTTGGTTTTTTTCTATACTTATTATCACGTTTGATCTAGGGCGGAAAGAAAGATAAAACTGGATCTGGAGAATCTAAAGGGCCAGGTTCGTCCGGGGTAAGTTATACTTTAAAACGCTCATTGGTTTGAACATTTAAAATGTACTTACAAAATGACTAATCATATTTTTTTATACAGAGTGAACATGATGAAATAACTGGTTCTTTGGCATTCGACATTGAGTCCTCATCGGAGGTATGCCAAATTATAAAAAAATATATAAATTCTTTAAATAAAATTATATTGTCATGTTTAGAGCGGTCCCCGTAGTTTAGGCGGCGGTAAAGGAAAACCAGGTCAAGGAAAAGGCAATGGGTGTTCTGGTGGTGGCTCTAAAAAGCCAGGTCCTTGTAAGGTAAATAACAAATCGCGATGACTTTCCTTATGATTCAAGTATCCATTAATAGTTTTTTAAACAGATTTGGTTTTTTTCTATACTTATTATCACGTTTGATCTAGGGCGGAAAGAAAGATAAAACTGGATCTGGAGAATCTAAAGGGCCAGGTTCGTCCGGGGTAAGTTATACTTTAAAACGCTCATTGGTTTGAACATTTAAAATGTACTTACAAAATGACTAATCATATTTTTTTATACAGAGTGAACATGATGAAATAACTGGTTCTTTGGCATTCGACATTGAGTCCTCATCGGAGGTATGCCAAATTATAAAAAAATATATAAATTCTTTAAATAAAATTATATTGTCATGTTTAGAGCGGTCCCCGTAGTTTAGGCGGCGGTAAAGGAAAACCAGGTCAAGGAAAAGGCAATGGGTGTTCTGGTGGTGGCTCTAAAAAGCCAGGTCCTTGTAAGGTAAATAACAAATCGCGATGACTTTCCTTATGATTCAAGTATCCATTAATAGTTTTTTAAACAGATTTGGTTTTTTTCTATACTTATTATCACGTTTGATCTAGGGCGGAAAGAAAGATAAAACTGGATCTGGAGAATCTAAAGGGCCAGGTTCGTCCGGGGTAAGTTATACTTTAAAACGCTCATTGGTTTGAACATTTAAAATGTACTTACAAAATGACTAATCATATTTTTTTATACAGAGTGAACATGATGAAATAACTGGTTCTTTGGCATTCGACATTGAGTCCTCATCGGAGGTATGCCAAATTATAAAAAAATATATAAATTCTTTAAATAAAATTATATTGTCATGTTTAGAGCGGTCCCCGTAGTTTAGGCGGCGGTAAAGGAAAACCAGGTCAAGGAAAAGGCAATGGGTGTTCTGGTGGTGGCTCTAAAAAGCCAGGTCCTTGTAAGGTAAATAACAAATCGCGATGACTTTCCTTATGATTCAAGTATCCATTAATAGTTTTTTAAACAGATTTGGTTTTTTTCTATACTTATTATCACGTTTGATCTAGGGCGGAAAGAAAGATAAAACTGGATCTGGAGAATCTAAAGGGCCAGGTTCGTCCGGGGTAAGTTATACTTTAAAACGCTCATTGGTTTGAACATTTAAAATGTACTTACAAAATGACTAATCATATTTTTTTATACAGAGTGAACATGATGAAATAACTGGTTCTTTGGCATTCGACATTGAGTCCTCATCGGAGGTATGCCAAATTATAAAAAAATATATAAATTCTTTAAATAAAATTATATTGTCATGTTTAGAGCGGTCCCCGTAGTTTAGGCGGCGGTAAAGGAAAACCAGGTCAAGGAAAAGGCAATGGGTGTTCTGGTGGTGGCTCTAAAAAGCCAGGTCCTTGTAAGGTAAATAACAAATCGCGATGACTTTCCTTATGATTCAAGTATCCATTAATAGTTTTTTAAACAGATTTGGTTTTTTTTCTATACTTATTATCACGTTTGATCTAGGGCGGAAAGAAAGATAAAACTGGATCTGGAGAATCTAAAGGGCCAGGTTCGTCCGGGGTAAGTTATACTTTAAAACGCTCATTGGTTTGAACATTTAAAATGTACTTACAAAATGACTAATCATATTTTTTTATACAGAGTGAACATGATGAAATAACTGGTTCTTTGGCATTCGACATTGAGTCCTCATCGGAGGTATGCCAAATTATAAAAAAATATATAAATTCTTTAAATAAAATTATATTGTCATGTTTAGAGCGGTCCCCGTAGTTTAGGCGGCGGTAAAGGAAAACCAGGTCAAGGAAAAGGCAATGGGTGTTCTGGTGGTGGCTCTAAAAAGCCAGGTCCTTGTAAGGTAAATAACAAATCGCGATGACTTTCCTTATGATTCAAGTATCCATTAATAGTTTTTCAAACGGATCTTGTTTTATTAACGTAGGATTATTATTATTATTTAAATTTTTATTTAGATATAAGTTATTTATAATTTGTTGTTGATGTTTCTGGGTTGACAATTATATTATATATGAGTTATGAGTATAGTCGTAGCAATGGAACTGTTAATTTTACCTGGAAGATGTACTTGATATATTGATTAATTTTGGTTTAATGATTTTTTAGCACATTTAACTTGAACACACTTATCAAACTTTTTTTTTAGCAATATTCCAAAACGAAAGAGATTGACATTGAACGCAGATGTTCAAATGAGATGGGAAAAGAGGCTTCCAAATGTTTATGTCAATGTTGATAATCAATAATTATGTATATCTTATAGTATGCTTATGATACAGTATTAGTTGGATTATAAAAACGCAATAAACATTTTTGCATATTTGTTTTTTTTTTTTGTTATTTATTAGTTCTTGTTCATATTATGTGGGATTTATTGTTATCATACTAATGAGTAGTATGCTTTGAACTATATGTTATAGAATTAACTTACATAAATAAACTATAGACTTTTTACCTTGTTACCAATTTTTTTATGTTTGGAAAAGAAATTGTCTATATTTAATGGAACCGACTAAAATCCTCTTGTTGTAGACTCCCTTGTGCTTGAATAGGCTGTCTAAAGTAAACCATTTTACCGTATATTCATGCATAAATATTACATAAAAAGCAGTGTATGATTTTTCCAATTCTTTTTAAAGCGTCCTCTTAAAAAGGATTGTTTTAGTGTTTTGAAATTATCATACGTTCTTTTTAACTCTTTCGTTCTTGGGTTTTTTTTTTCGAAAAAAAAATCAACAATTTTTTTACGTATTGGTCTGATATTGATTATCATTATAGTTATATCGATTTTTTTATCATGAATCTATACTAGAAGTTGTGTTTTAAGACATTTTTGATAATTATAGTACGTTTTTAATATTTTATTCGATTTTCAAAGGTAAATCGTCGTACGAGGATGTCAGTAACAAAAGGGTTAAGTTACTTTAACTTTTAATACAATTATGCAATAACAGATAAAATTAATTAAATTATAGATAATGACGTTACATTGGCATGTCGTGTAGTAGAGACTCTAAATGTGGTTGATAATATGTTAATTTTTATCGAAGGATGTGATGAACGCGAAAGTTTTACTTTCCTCATGAAAAAAGTTTTTATTTAACTTACATGTATTTGAGAGCAACTATATAGTATAACCTATAGCGAAACATCTAATAGAAGACGGATCTTGTTATAAACTTTTCTCTCGAGTACACTACTTTTACTACCATCAACAGTTAAACCGTTATCTTTATAGTTAGCTGAGTTTTGGTCAGACAAAGGAATCGCTGCACCTCTGCGGTTTAATTTAACAAGAGTTACATATGTTTATTATAATGTATGGCATAAAGTCAAACACAATTATTCTATCCTGGAAATTATAGTTATAAAGCTTATGAGATTATTTAATAGATTTGAAACGTAAGTAAAAAATTTTTCAAACTAAATACCTACAAATTCGATTTTAATTAAAATATAAAATATGTTTTATTGGTGTTATTCCTTTGCCATGGACAGATATAATACAGTTCAAATTTCAAATGTGTGACACATAAAGTGCATTGAGTAGTAGTACCTAAGAACCAGAAAAACTTAAGTCAAGTTTTAAGGAGCACAAAAACTGAAAGAAGAATCATAATCAGGTGAGCACTTACGCTCTTATAATCAAGGAAAATTATAAAACCAGAGTTTTTAACAAAATTCCGTTGGTATGGTTTGGTGCAAAATCATATTTTACATAAAAAATTGCATTAACTTGAAATCGTCGATTTGAAATTATGTTCGTCTAGTTTTGAGGTTGACAAATTATAACTGTCAACACCGGCCTGGACATATGCGAGTCCAAGTATTCGGCAGAGATAATCAAAATATAACTTCATTAATATTTACCGAATGTAAGATTAAATTAAATACAACTAATCACTTCTTAAAATTATTTTCATTTTTTTATTCAAATGCTCTGATTTAAGTATTTTTTATAGTAACTATTTGATTTCTACTTTAAAAACCAAAACATATTGTCGATCGAGGCATCTAGTGTTAAGAAAATACTTTGCTTTTAAGAAAACGCTTTGATCAGAGTATGTCTACCTTCTTACTTTACAGATTTTATAATTTTCTGACTTCGCTATTTACGCAGTATCACATTATTTGCTGGCGATTTAATCGCTTTCAAGTTTATAGCTGAGTTTATTCTGTGATGGTTGTTGTATTTTACGTTCAAAAGCGCAATGCCAATGGTACTCGCGGGTTGAAAACTAAAAAAAATTATTACAGAGTAATCTGGTCAGTTTGCTTATAATTTTTGTTTGCACAGCACATTTCGATCTCGACTGATATTTGTTTCAAGTCACTCAATCCATGCCACACTAACCAAATGATTGCACAAACACAGTCGTTGCGTAAATTGTTGGATCGTGTGTGGGGATCTTTAGGGAGTACGTTTATTTTATTCGTGTCAAATAGATACGTTTGATCTACTATTTATTAAAAAATAACTCACATTCCTTTATTTTTTTTTTTATGATGGGTCATTTGTAAAACACTTTAATTTCATGATTAACTAAAACATAAATATGAGATTGAATACGTTCAATACTATGTTTCCCCCGTAGGGACTATGTTTCAGCGAAACTGAAATAATGGTGTAAAAAGCTTTCTCATGAATACTTAAAGCAATTCAATGCGGAAAGGTAGGTACGTTAAAAATTTAATTCACCGTTTCTATACCTTTTTTAAGTCCTTTAAAATTCCTCTTTTTTTGCCGTAACCTCACCATGCAATCGGATGTTTCATTACAAAACCTTTGTAAGCTGGTACTCCACTCACACTAAATACGTGGAAAGCAAGTTTTATTTGCCGGAAACCACACTTAAACTTTTGTATTGTAGTTTGTATTGTTATCGTATTGAAACCCGGCTATATTAGTTTTTTTTCAAATGAAAATTTAATTTAATTTATACTTTATTACTATAGCCAATAAATTGTTTTCCGGAGCGTACGTTGTAAGAAACATCATAATTGATTGGTTTTACAGCAATACTTTATACAAAAAAATTACTAAGGCTGGGATCGATAATGCATAGAAAAATTCTATTAAAATTAATTTTCTAAAAAATATAATATAATATCTATCAACATGTATTTATTAGTAATATAATAAAAAGTCGTATATTTTCTGTTAAAATCATACTTAGACCATTACCGTTTTGTAGCAATTAACTATTTTCTGTTTTAATTGTGTTGTTCGGAGCACAAAAGCTCATTAAGTAAGCAAATATCGTGCTGTACTCATCCTTAATGGCTCCCTATTTGCATTTCGAATATATTAAGTACGTTTACAAAAACAGAAGTTGTTCAGTACAACGTTCAAGAAGAGTAGGTGGTGTCATATAGTATTTTCTGAGTGCACTCGTTATTTTATTAATGTGAAAAACAACTCTTTAGTTCTTTATAGTTAAAAAAAAGAAAATGCTGAAATTTCAACTCAAATGATAATCCTATATTATTATGGAATTATTACTACACGAGTAAGAGTCTTATAATTTTATTTTTCTCCCAAGCCGATAATAGAGCTGCTTTAATTTATAGGAAGTTATACTTAAATTAAAATTTGTTATTTAGGCGACATATGGAACGCATATTAAGATGTGTCCCGACCGGGAGGCAGCCATTTTGTGTATCAATTTTATAGAAAGTAAAAATGCTACATTACTTTTTCATGACACCTTCTAAAAACATTAGATTAGGTGATAATAACACCATCATATCACAGACTATTTTCATATAGTTTTTGGACTGTGGTCATATATTTGATAAATCCTAGAAATGTTAGGTTAGGTGACGATAGTCATATATATAAAAAAATCTTAAAAGAAAAACAATAAATATCATAGACAAAACAATAACTGTTCACAAAATGGCAGCCTCCTACTAGTGGATATTTTCATAAGCAGTCGACTATAGGCAATACGCATTTCATATAATGAGTTCAGTGGCGTGATATAAATAAGTTTCACCAGAACGCGTTAATTTATACCTTCATTGTTAAAAGGGGATTATAATTAATATTTTTCAAGAATATACTATAATTGAATGGTTTTATAGTTTAATGTCTGATTGTATTAAATAAATACATATTTGAATCCAATCAGACATGTAGTCTGTGTTAATTTTTATATTTTTAATTAAAGTTACATTTTAATTGACTAATTAATTAAATTAATATTTGTGTGTCTTTTCTTTTAACAAAATGTCAAAAATTGAATATCTCTAAGCTTGTGACCGTTTTATATAAGAGTTCATCACATCTTGAGATTTCCCTGTCTATTTTCATTTATCGCCGCGTTTGCTCGTTATACATTCCGTACTTGAGAATCTAGTTAAATATTAAAATACAGCTGTTGTCAAGTACCATGAAATAACAAAGCAGAACATAATTTGAAATAAACATCCAAAAGAAGATTAAAATTTATTATCCATTAAGATATTGTACTTATATTGTTATGGACCCAGTGTCATTGTGACAAAAAAAAGTCGATGTGACCAAAAATGAGTAAATAAGCTAAATTCAAATTTTATGATCAAAAAAATAGAAAAATTAGTTGTCAACATTGTATTATAAAAATTTTAACGACGAATTTTAATCGGTTTTTAGTACTAAAACCTACTAGAATAGGTTAGATTTAGGCTTGATATAATGCATTTTGGATTAATTCGTTTTCCAAGAAAACTCTCCTTAGGTTTTTTGTCTTTTTTTGTGTGAATGAAAACTGATTTCAGGCTACTGAAATATGTCCGTTTTAACAATATCCTACATATTGTTAAAACGAATTCAGTATGTGTTTCTTCATTGAAAACTAAGAAACTTTTGTATGATTTAGATAAAGATACTCTTTTTTTTTATTATTACACTGCTTGAATATTATACTTTAGAACTTTAGAATTCAGATCACACGTCATAGGGGTTTTTCATCAATCTACTGTCGAAAAAAATCAGCGTTAAGAGCTCTGTATTGTTAAAATACTGTTTATGCATTCTGATTACCAGCGATTTTGATCAATTTTTTTCGTTTGGAAAAATATCGCATTTAAAATTACTTATATCAAACTTTAAAAAATAAGTTTTTTCAAATTCGATGAAAAATATGATATATTGATATGTATCCCCGCTATTATTTATATAAATGAAGTAAACATACATATATTGCATAATACAGTTGAATGTTAGTGAAAAATGGGCCCGTGTAATATAATGTTTTAAATAACACAGGTTGGTTTAATTTACGCTTGTAAACTTGAAAAGCCTGTAATAATTAAAAAATTATGTCCATCTTCTTCATGTTATATAATGGAGTAGGTTAGCCAAATCATTTATTTCCACAAATCCCTCGACACCACTTCTTTATTCACTACACATATCTTCAAGTCTTTGTTTATATAAACAAAATAAATAAAAATATTAACTCATATACT